TCTGGACCCGGCGCTGCGCAGCTGCTGCGCCACAGGGAAACGCCAGCGAGCCAGGGAAGACAATGGTGAGAAGAATTGGGTTTCTGATCACTGTGCATTTTGTTAATTAGTGAATTCAAATAGTTTTATTTTTACCAAAAAAACAGATAATCTTTATTCCAGTAAAGACAACTGTTGACTTGAGATATATATAAATATATATATATTATTTGAATGGTTTATATCCTGTTGCTCTAACTACATAAAATGGAAACATGTTGCAAGTTGTGTCATTTCAATATACAAAATAAATGACTTTTCCCTGCATGCTGCCTGGGTATGTTGTGATTTGAATTAAGAGTTATATTTGAATTGCCTTATTCAAGAGGTTGTATGTTACCTAACTGGGGAATGACCTGGCACTGTTCATCACATTACATGTGTACTTGATGCTGTATTATGTCAAATTCAGATGAGTTGTCTGTCATCTATGTATTTTGTGGGAGATCTTTTATCTTGTTAAACTGTGATATGTAAACCTTCATTGCCTGAAATAGTCACAGTTGTATAAATCAGTGTCTTCAGCTGTTTTCCTAATTTTAACACAATTCCTAACACAAAATATAGATGTTTGTAAATTCTTCATTCATTTGGTCTATTTTTATGTATGAGGCTTTTTTAATCTGGCAAAGCAATAAGATAAGGCAGCCTTCCCGGAATTTTTCAATCAAGGCACAGCTACATTTCTATCCCTCGGCAAGAGGCAACAACCAATTTCCAGCAGGGACAATTGGCATTCGGGATGCCTGTTTATTGCTATTATCTCTCCTGGCTCGGATGGGCCATTATCCCGGCAGAAGGCGATGATTAATGCCGAGCCAGCCGTGCGGCTCCGCAGCGCCTTCCGCAGCGCCGCGGGGCCCCGGGCTGGCAGGGACCGAGGGGACGGGTCCCTGCGGACCCCCAGCTGGCAGACTGGAGCATTTCTGGACGTTTCCATGCCTAAAACCCCCAGTACAGCAGTGGCTGGCATCACTAAAACACTCCTGCCAGAGTCAGCCGCGGTCCCTGCTCAGCTGTGCGGGTGCCACAGCGTCCCGAGCACGGGCAGCAGAGGTGGCTCGGGCACACGAGCCAGAGGTGGCACACGAGCCAGAGGTGGCACACGAGCCAGAGGTGGCACACGAGCCAGAGGTGGCACAGGAGCCAGAGGTGGCACACGAGCCAGAGGTGGCACACGAGCCAGAGTGCCAGAGGTGGCACACGAGCCAGAGGTGGCACACGAGCCACGCCGAGGCGTCTCAGCCCCACCGCGCTCTCCCCACTCTTCCACTCTGGACCGCAGCTGCACAGCAAACGCTGCTCGCTTTTTACGTCTAGTGACCATAAGAAACGCATGGCCAAAGGAAAAAAAAAATCCTGGAGTAGGACAAGCTGTGGTCCTGGGTTGTTGAATCTCGATCCAGGACTTCGAGTGCTAAAAAATTCCCATCCCATCCACAAACGTGCCCATCTCTTTTTTCCTTTTTCTCCCTTTACTTTTGGCATGGTTCGGGTTGGAAGGCTGTCAGAAGGGACGAATGCGCTGGGAAGGGCTGGGGGAGCGTGGGGAGGAGGCTGCCAGAGGCAGGGCGGAGCGGCAGGGAACGACCCAGAGGACTGGGGGAAACAGGTTTGCTAGAGACGAGTGTGCGGCAGAAATTCCAGTTTTTGCTGCAGCCCCTGGGGGCTCTCAGCGTGCCCCGGGAATGTCACCGCGGCCGGAAGGGCTGGGGGAGCGTGGGGAGGAGGCTGCCAGAGGCAGGGCGGAGCGGCAGGGAACGACCCAGAGGACTGGGGGAAACAGGTTTGCTAGAGACGAGTGTGCGGCAGAAATTCCAGTTTTTGCTGCAGCCCCTGGGGGCTCTCAGCGTGCCCCGGGAATGTCACCGCGGCCGCCGATCCCTCAGGAATGTCACCGCGGCCACCGATCCCTCGGGAATGTCACCGCGGCCACCGATCCCTCAGGAATGTCACCGCGGCCGCCGAGCGCGGGGAGGGCGGGGCGGAGCCCGAGGGGAGGCGTGGTCCCGCCCCTAAGCCCCGCCTCTCGCGCCCCATTGGCTGCCGTCGGCCCCGCCGCTGCCGCCATTGGCTGGTGCGCGGGCGGGTTTCCCGCGCGCGGCCGGGGCGATGGCGGCGGAGCGCGGCATGGAGCTGGTGCGGGAGCTGCACCGCGCCGCCGGCGGGCACCTCCCGCCCTTCCGGGTGAGCACCGGCAACTCCGGGAACACCGGGAACACCGGGGCGGGCCCCGCCGGCGGCCCGCGCTCACTGACCGTGCCCGCTGTTGCAGACGGAGGAGATGCGGCAGGCGCTGGAGGAGATGCGGGCGCTGTACGAGCGGAACCAGGCCGATGTGTGAGTTGCGCGCCGCTCCCGGCGCGTCCCGCACGGCTCGGGCGGCGCTCCCCGGCCCGCAGCTCTCCTCCTACTCCTCTTTCTCCCTCCCCTCATCCCCCAGGTCCGAAGCGAAGGCGGGACGGACGGACCTGATTTTCCTCATCCGGTTCCGGCACTGCTGCCTGCTCCGGAACCAGCGCTGCCTCCTGGCCTACCTGTGAGTGCGGCGGGGCTGGCCGCTGCCTGGCTCCGTCCCTGCAAAGAGAAGGCTCTGCTTCCTCTTGCTCTTTAAAAGTTTAGATTAGTGGTGTCACTGCTGTGGCCTGGGGATGCCAGCACTCACCTCAGCAGAGGTGTTGGGTTTGCCCCATTTCTTCCCCCAGGTATGACCGGTTGCTGCGGATCCGAGCGCTGAGGTGGGAGTACGGCAGCGTTCTGCCCAGCACCATCCAGTTCCACATGGCAGCTGAGGAAGTGAGTCAGCCTCGTTTCAAACTCTTCCCACATGTTCCTCCTGATGGATTATTTAGTACAATCCAAATAGGGTAGTCTTCCCCTCACTATAAACATGACATTTAACATGTCTTTCTGTAAACACTTACTGGTGTGTATTCATTGTTTGTGCGTACAACCCTGTTAATGCCCACAGGTGGAGTGGTTCAATCGGTACAAAAAGTCTCTGGCTACCTACATGAGGTCAGTAGGAGGAGAGGAGGGGCTGGACCTCACACAGGACATCAAACCTCCTAAAAGCCTCTACATTGAAGTAAGTGCAAGATTCTATCCGTGAATAAACATTTCCATGACTATCTCTTTCCGAGCATTTCATCCCCATCCCAAGTCAGTTCATCAAGCAAGAACCTTTCAGAGCTCCAAAGCTTTCACAGGTTTCTGTGTTTTACTCTGCCTGCCAGCATTTTACTCCTACTGAGAGCACAAAGTATGTTGAGAGATGGCACTTCTAGTCTGCAGGGAGTTTGTGGTGGGGCAGGTTATCCAGTTTGCAGCTTTTTGCAGAAACTTAACTAACCAAACCAACTAGAAACCACGTTCCTGTGCCAAGGACTGTTGCCTGGAGGGGGTGGTTCTCACTGGACTCTTACAGAGCTGTGTTTCCACTTTGCAGGTGCGGTGTTTGAAAGACCACGGGGAGTTTGAGATTGATGATGGCACTACCATCCTATTGAAGAAGAACAGCCAGGTACCTGTGGCAGGAGTGTGGTCTGTTCTCTTCCTTCCCTTTCACTCCCATGACATCCCCCTGCCTATGCTGGCCTTGCAGCATGTCCCAGTCCCTGCACACACAGCTCCTTGCGTGTGCTGTCTGTATGGTCCTGAGTGCAGCTCTGCCTGATCTGGTGCCATGAGGCTCTGGATGTACAGCACAAGAAACAGAGCTGGTTGTGTGCAACAACAAATCCAACAAATTCGAGGAGGGTTTTTCTGTGTTTCTGTGCAGCACTTTTTACCCCGCTGGAAATGCGAGCAGTTGATCAGACAAGGAATTCTGGAGCACGTTCTGTCCTAAGTGTACAGGACAGGAGGGACAGCTTGGTGACCTGCCCATGATGAGGACTGAGTTCTGGTGTGTGCAGGACTTCAGAGACCTCAGTATTTCTGCAGTGGCACCCTGCCACTCCTCCTAACACCTCTGATGCCTTAAAACCATGTCTCTTCATGAGCAAAGGGTGCAAGCTGGTAATATAACAATCCTGGGAGTCCAGGATAGTGGGGGGGGGCATTATCCAAGCCCCACAGCTACACCCATGGTTCATGAATGCATTTTTGTTTGGAGTAGTTCTTTGTTCACACTGTGCAGGTAAGACACCAACTGGCTGGGTACCGGAAGCCAGGAAAACTTCATGGTTGCAAAATAAAGAACTCCTTCAGCCTCGGTCTCTTGGGTTTTTAAGAGCTAATGTGGTGTTCATTCAGCACTGTGATCTGGCTCTCCAGCCAATCCCATCCTGACCCTGCAGTGTGGTGGTTATTTAAGTATCTCAGTGGAACTCAGATAAGGCTGCACAAGGTTCTTTCCAGGATTACACATGAAGCCTTGTCCCCATCAGAGACCCACAAATGTTGTTTCTAGAGGTGCTGTGTGAATGATCATTGCAATCTGGGTCATGGGCCTGGGTTTTTCCCAGTGTGCTTGGCCTGTGCCTCTGTTCCTGTGTAGAATCTCTTATCCCAGAACATGGTCTTGTAGGGCTTATGGGCTACTTAGGGTGGGAAAGGGAGCAGAGGGTTTTAAGGATTCTGGTTAGCACAAAACCAGAACAAAGCTGAAGAGAGCTGAAGAGCTGCTTTCCCTGTCTGGTTTTCCTAATGGAGCTCCTCAGCTCTTGCACTGTGTCTGGGAAAACACTTGCAAGAACATCAGCCCTAGATAAGACCAGAGGTTTGCTTAGCCCCCATCTCAGACTGGAGCTGAAAAAGCAAACAGCTGGGGAAGAATGCAGGAACAGGACAAATGCCTGGGGCATTACAGCACTGCTCTGTCCTGCTCACTGCAGCAGCAACAATCCGGTTGGTTTTGGATCCTAGGCTCAGGCTGTAGGAGGAGCTGTTGGGAATAAATGTTCAGAGCAGTTGCGGAAGGTGACTGAGGTACAGAGCAAACTGGGAACAGCAGGAGGTGCTGTAACATTACAAACTTTTTAATGTCACAACTCAGCTTTCCTGCTTGGAGTGACCAAGCACAGGGTCCTGCAAGCCCTTCTGCCCTGGCTTTCGAGATTAACTGTGGCTCCAATATCGACCTTCTGCAGAGAGGGAGCATCTGCACCAACACCAAACACTGCCAAAATCCTGTGAGCTGGCTGCCCTGAGACAGACATGACATAACAACACTCTGCCACTGGGAAAGGCACCAAGGCTGCTGCTCTCAGTTGGAAAATTCAGCTACCCACAAGACCAGTTTCCTCAAAGGACTCTAGGCTTCCCATTTGGTATTTTCTGCACTGGAAAATCCTGGCAAGACCAGAGAGGACAAGGCTGATTTTCCAACCCAGCCGTATCTCCCATTCTGCACCTGACCAGGACCAGGAAGGACCAGGGGCTGCCACTGCAGATGTCCCATCACCCATTCAGAGACGCTGGTGTGATTTTACCAATAAGCTGCTTCAGAGCTGAGGCTTGTTCCTCCAACAGCTGGTTCTTCTCCTCCATGCCCTTCTGCTTCAGCTCAGCAGCCTGCAGGGCCATTGCAAACCTCCTGTTCTCTCCACGGAGCTCTTCAATCAATAGTTTGTTCCTGGAGAGTTGGGCCTAAAGCAGGGACAGGAGGCTTCAGGTTCAGCATCCCATGCAGGGGTACCAGACGGGCAGGGACACACAGCACCAGCCCCTCTGGCACTCACCTGGGCATCTCCAAGCTGAGCTGCCCTCTCTGCCAGCACAGCTTCAGCATTCCTCAGACTCTGTTCCAGCCCCTCTGCCTGCTCCACAGCTGCCTGCAGCAGCTGCTCGTGTTCCTCCTGCAGTGGACAAGAAAGTGTCTGTGGGTTGTCCCAGCAGTCTCCTGGCCTCTGGCAACCCTGGACTGTACATTTCCCCAAGGCCCTCTTCATGCTCATGCTCCTTGAAGCACAGCAGGTGGGTTCATCAGAGGTGCAGGATACAAAGAGCAGGAGGACAGATGTCTAGAGCAGTACAACCTTCCCTAGGTCTGCACCCAAACAGTTTTAAGACAAGGCACAGATTTTCCAGCAGGGTTTTCTATAAAAAGAAGCCATTGGCCTCCCCTCTCCCAGCCATGTCCAGGAGAGCTCAGGGAGAGACAAAGTCTCCTTGGATGCAGTCCTTGTGCCTGCTCATTATAATTCCTTAGGCTATAATTTGCCCTATCTTTGCCCAGAAGACAAACTCACAAAAACCCAACACCTGGTTGCTCAGTGCCCTAGAGATAAATCCACCTGTTTGAGTGCAGGCTGGTGACTGGAGGATTCATGAAGAATTAAAGTTGCAGCTGAATTTGAAGGTAAGTGCATTTTCCATGTGGGTTCTTTATATCTACCATCTTCCACCCAAACCTCTGGTGGCTTCAGTCACAGCTGCCTTCCAGGTTGCCAGGCCAGCAGTGTTCCCTTCACAGTACCCCTGACTGAGCTCCTGCAATTCCCTGCTTACCTGGGTCCTGACCAGCTGCCTGCATGTTTGCTCAGCCTGCAGCTGGAGGCTTTCCTGGAGCTGCTGAGTCTTGCATTGTTCCTCTCTCAAGGTGTTTTGCAGCTGCTCAAACTGTTTCTTTGGCACCATGTTGTTTATCTGGGCCTGGGCCTGCTGCAACTGCAGAGCGTGCTGGGCCTGGGCCAGGCTCAGGCTGGCTTTGGCTTCTAAAAGCTGTAACACAGAAAGGTTGATAGCTGGTTACAGCTTTGAGCCAACAACAGGACAGGCCCAGGCTGTGTTTTGGGGGAGAGGAGAGGTTAGATAGTGCCCTCAGCTCTCACCCCAGCACAGGCACAGCAGAGCTGCATGACCATGGCAGTGGTGCTCACTGGGCAGCCTGCAAAGCAAGGGAGTGAGAGCACTGAGAGCTGCAGGAGGAGACACAGAGACCCTGTGCTGAGAGATGCTCCCCTTGCTGAGTAGTGAGGAGAAGGAGTTGCTGGAGGGATTCTCTGGGAGGGAGTTCCAGGACCAAGGGCCACAAGAGCAAGAGACAGAGGGGGCTGTTGACTTGGGTTCTTGGATACATCCCAGGCTAGCTGTGATGTCCTAAATGTCCTGTACTACATGTCCTCTGCTTCCTGTCACCAGCAAAGGGCAAAACTGGTAATGGGAAGCAGATCTGGTCCAACTTTGCCTTTGGGCTGCCTAGGGATGGCTGGCATGGGTAAGCTGTACTTTGGAAAGCCAGTCCTCAGGGCAGAATGCAGGAGAGGAATATTAACACATTGGAAGGTTTCTCACATTGGCTTTCCTCCCTCTGTCCTTGTGATCCACATTACTCTGTTCTGACCACCTCATTTCCCATCCCTCAACAATCCCTGTCTGGCTGCTGTCATCCCTTCCCAACCCTTATCCAATTCTACCACTGCTCCAGCTCCTCTGGCAGCTGAGCCATGGGGAACCACAGCTCCTGGCACCCCTGTGTGAGCCACCTCCACTCAGCCCCATCCCCTCTGCCCAGCCAGCCTGCACAGGACAAGCACAGGGGGTATCACAGGGACAAGCAAGCAAGGGCCTCTCCCCAGCTGCACCTGAACTGGCTTCAGCCATATCTGAGAAGGAGGGAGAATACTTTGTCCCCCACAAAAAAGGACATCTTTTATCTGCTTGGGGAGGGTGTCCAGCACAGCCCCAGGCAGGACAATACCAACATCACAGAGTCCACTCAGCAGCCTGCTGCTGAATGAAGGACACTCACCTTTTCCTGCGAGGCCTGGAGCTGCTGTTGGAGCAGCTCCATCTCCATCCAGCAGGCTGCATGCCTCTGGTGGTGCTCCAGCCTTGCAGTAATCTCTGCTCCTCGTAGCCACTCAGCCTCCAGAAGGCTCTGGCTCTGCAGCTGGGCAGTGCCAGGGCCATCACTGTGACCAGCCTTGTGCCCAGGGGGCTCACAGCCCAGCTGAGGCCTCTTGACATCTGGGTGAGAGAGCTCCTCCTTGCCCTTATCACTCTGGAAAAGGTGGAGAAAAGAAACAGCAAATCATGCACAGGAGGCCTGGGGTGGGAACACAGGCAACAAAGACTGACTGAGCCATGTGGGTTTGAGACTGGGAGTGAGAGACATCTCAGGGAGAAAGAGTGAAAGTAGTGAAAGTTCGTTAAGTCATTAAAGACTTTCCCCTTCTGTAAGACTTTCAATGTCACACAAGTTTTCACTGCTTTACAAGTTAAAAGATGAAGCTGGTCCTTCAAAGGAAGACTAGGTTTGAATGTTTGAAACAAACATTTTTGCTCTTCTCTATGAACACGTGCAGTTTTTGTCCTTCTAAATCCTTCAGCCAAGAGCCTGGCAATTAGGGTTAATGGCTTCTTACCAAAGCTGTTAACTCTGCTATTTCAGCCAGCTCCTCCAGCTTCTCTCTACCCAACTCACTCCTGTTTTTCCTGCTGGGAAGAGGGACAGGATCAGCTTCAGACCAGAGGGCAGCAAAGCACAGCCCCCCCAGAGGGGAGCCCTGTTTTGGGTAGTCCCACATCTGGTTTTGGCCTGCAACATGAAGCAAAGCCAAGCCAAAATAGATATGGCCCTGAATTGATGCAGGAGGGAGTCAGGTGCCTGTGTCCCAGCAGGTGACTCAGCTCAGCCCAGCCCAGGGCAGACAGCCTGGGGACATCCAAAGTCCTGCAAAGCTGTCAGAGACCTAAAACCAAGGAATGAAGAACAATGGGAGGGACAGTTTACCAGACTGGGATCGTCTGAGACACCAGAAACCTGTCTCTCCCCAGATTTATGGCTCAGTGGGTGACCCCAGTACCTATCTACAGCTTCCTAAGGAAGAAATCCATCCCATGTTAACTCTTCAGCAAGCTGCAGCCAGCACTGTCTCCTGTGCAGGGAGAGACAGCAGAGTGAGAAAACCATGCACAAGCCCCATTTACTCTGGCATTCTGTGATGGTTCCCTGATCTTTTCCAATTTGATTTCCAATGGCAGCTAAGGGCTAAGGAAAACTGAAAAAAACCTTCCCATAACTCAGGCAAAAATGTGAGGACAATCAAGAGATAAGAGTAGAGACGGAGCAGGTTTTCAAGGGAAGGGAAATAAAGGGGAATAAAGACAAAGAGCATCAGACTGAATTTATGTGGCTTCCAGCTGGCTGAAATTATTTGGCAGTCCTGTGGATACAAGTGATTTGACTCATCAAGACACACCAAGACTTCATTAGAGGGTAACAGGTGGTGAGACCAACCCCTCAAGTGAAATAAAGCCACATCAGGAGAAATCAGCTTGTTTGTGAGGCTTCTGTGATTTTACAGTGCTGGACACAAAGCTGTGACCCCCAGATCCAAGGTGTCCTCCTTCCACTTCTGTTGGTACTCCCAGTCTCGCAGGAGGCCATGAATACTGGCACTTGTGGGAATGAAGCTCACTCCTGTGTTGGACAGTCCTGTCCAACAACTGCTGCTGAACACCAGAGCCATATAGGACCCAAATTCCTCAAGGAAGGCACAGAATAACAGACCACCTATCCTGGCAGGGAGGGCAGCACTGCAGATTGTGGCAGTGCCTGTGGCACGCAGAGGAGCTGTGTGAGGAAGTTCTTCCTCTCTTCTTGAAACACAAGGACCAGTCCATGGGCTACGTGGTGTTTGCTCATCTCAGTGCAGCTGCTTTTGGGAATTTTACATCGAGTTCACATGCTGTGCTGCCTCTGGCATCTCCAACATCCATGTCCAAGGCAGAGGAGGTGAGTGTGCAGTCAGCCCCAGCCACAGGAGCACATCCCAGCTCCCTGACCACACTCCCATCATCAGTAAAAGACATATCATAGCTTTTGCATTTGTCTGCATGTGCTCAGTAATATTTATTAATTGGAAGTATCCTAGTTCATAGTCCACTTCATGAGAGCAGCAGAACAAAGCTGCTGTTGGAACATCCAAGAGAACACAGCTGCTGTTACAGCCTTCAGCACCATCGTGGTGTTAAGCAGCCTTGTGTCTCACAAGGCATCTGCTTTTTCTTTGCAGCAGCATGTTGGATCTTCAAACTACCTTTGTACTACCTGACACTCTCTTGAGCTCTGGGCTCATTTTCCAAGTACTGCATGACATCTTTAAGCTGCTTCACCTCCAATTTCAACCTGTTCCTCTTCCTCTCCAGCTCTGTATTGACAGCCTGAATGTCAGGTTTCCTCCTATGTTGTTACACCACTGTCTCACAGAGCTTTTTTCCTTCTCTTCTTGCCCTGCAGGTCAGGTCTATCTCCTGAGATGTCTGCTCTTTGAAGGCATTTAACTCTGCCTCCTTCCCAAGCACATCCCCTTGTCTATCAAGATTCCATTTCTCCCTGACAAATGCTTTCCACTTTGCCTCCAGCTTCTAGATTGAACAGACCATTTGTTACAACAAACATCTGCACTGTTTGCACAGTGTGTGTCCATCATACAATTGTTCACTTCTTCCCTGTTCCTTCAGTGTTGAAATTGCAACAGAAGATTATGGTCTACCTGCTCATCTGAGTCTTAGGGGATCAGCTCATCTTCCCCCAGAGAACAGCTCTTCAGTCTCCTTGTCCCTTCCAACAGCAGAGCCCTCAGCTTCACTGTCTCTGCAGGATGTGGTGGTGAGAAGCTGCTGCTCCCCACAACTCCCCTGTGAACACCAGAAACTCCAGGATTTGGTGTGCACAAAGGCAGGACTATAAATCAGGCAGAAGATCTGTAGGCAGCTTTGTGCTCCTTGAACTGTTCTGTCACCTATGTGGCAGTTTAGGATTTTCTCTTGCAGTGCTGCAGCACAAAACCCAGCAAGCACCACTGACCTCTCAGTTCAGCAGCAAAAGGAGTAAATGTGGAAACTGAGGCCTCTCCCACGGACATTTACAGCTGTCTGAAGAGGAGGCTGCGCTCACACTGTCACCTCAGAGCAGGCAGGTTAGAAGTGTGCTGCAAGCCAAGGGTGACAGGCTCTGATACAGCCCCTACCATCAGGAAACACCTGGCTGCTTCTCCTCTTGGTCCTGTCCCTGGTTTTACTGTGACAACACTGAGTGATCTCCCACACAAACATTTCATGAGGTGACAGTGATTTCCACAGAGCCTTTGCCAGCCAGTGAGGCGAAGGCTCCAAACCCTCCTAGCAGCTAAGACAACCTGGAGAAGCACATGAAGTAGCCCCACAAGAGTGATGAGGCACCACCCTGCTCCCCAGCCTGACCTCTCTCTCCAGCAACCCTACTGGAGCAGATGTCTCATCAGTCACACTGTGGCAGCTGTGCTTACCAAGCAGCCAGGACATCTCCCCCCACCCCACTCACCTTGGTTTCCAGCTGCACCTTCAGGTCCTGCAGCTGCTCTTGGAGCTGCTCCACTGGGAGTGACATTTCTGTAAACACAGAAGTAGGAACAAGAAGGCTTGGAGAGGGGTGTGATGGCAGAGAGGAGCCCTTTGAGGGGAGGCCTACAAGACAGGACTGATCAGGATGGCTGCAGCTTCATCCAGTCCATAAGGAGTTTGAGAGGTTGCATACAACCCCAAAAGATGAACATTCCCCATCTATCTGGCAACTAGTCCCACGGCTGCATCACCCCTCTTGGCCAGAAGCTTTTATCTAATGCTCAACTTGAATTTTTCCAACCCACAGTTTGGGGCTACTTCCTCTTTATTGCATTGTTTCCTCAGCATCTTCAACACTGAAAATCTGCCAGTTCACCCACAGCTGCCTAGTTGACAGGTCCCATCAGCAGCTCTCAAGTTGGAAAACCCTTCTCTCCTCCATCTCCCTTCTCCCCACCACCCATCTTTTCCTTCTTCCCACCCATGGCTACTCAGTACCAGAAGTGGCAGCAGTAGTTCAGGCACAACAAGCCTCCCCACACTCCCATGCAGACTTGGATGCAGAGGGAACTCTGTTGCTGCTGAGAGGATGGGCACTGGGCCCTCCTGCACGTTACCTGCTGCTGGCAGCCCTCCCTCAGCCCTGCTCTCCTGCAGCTGGAGGCGCAGCCTTTGCAGCTCCCTTCGCAGCGCTCCGTTCTGCTCGTGCAGCACCTGAAACAAACACTGCTCAGGACACAGGACAAAGCTCCTCCAAAGCTCCTGGCAGGGCCTCCCCCAGCCCCAGCACAACCTTCCCAAACTAAGGAAGGCATCACAGAATTTGGAGGAGCCAAAGAAGAAATACAACCCCAGATTTCCAAGACCACCATCACTACCCAAAGCAACTTCCCCTGAATGCAAAAGCCAAAACCAGGAGTCTGCCAACACCTCAGGGGCTGGGCCTCCTGAGACCCTCCTGGCCTAAATAACCATTGGTGGAATACAACACAGATAAAACATCATGATCTCAGCACAAGGCCAGGGGTTTGTGTTTGCATCCTCAAGGATCCTTGTGGGCATACGGGCTGGCCAACAAGCACTACTCTGTGCAGAGATGGCAACCAGGATTCACAGTGAAGCACAGCCCACAGGCCTCTGGGAAGGAACTTTTCCAGGTTGCAGAAGGAATAAAACAAGGGAAGAAGGCACTGATCCCATGGGAAGCACAGCATGAGGAAGGTCCTGGTGGTCTCCTGGTGCCAGAGACACCCTAAGGCCAGCACAGGAGTTTATCCCATCTCCATCAGCAAGGAGTCCCAGAGCTGAACACCAAGTAATGAGCCACCACACCAGTGCAATGAGCCACTTCCATGGAGGTGTCTGGAGATGGGCAGCTGCTTGCTTCACTTCACATCCTCTATCCTGTACTGGAAGCAACAGCATACAAGGCATGCTGGACTGTCCACTTTGAGCAGAAATCCAATTACACCCCATATGCTGCCACCCAGGAAACTGATGTGCTGCAGGAGACTATGAACTAGGACACTTCCAGTTAACAAATACTACTGAGCAGATGTAGACAATGCAAACCCAGTTTGTTTCATCTCCATTCTAGACAGGAAAGGGGGGCTGAGAGCATTCAACAAGGGTAAAGGATAAACCCCAGTGGGTGCCTTCACAGGGGCAGGTGAAGCCTGAAGGTCAAACCTTTCCATCCATCAGCATTCTCATAGACAACTCTGGGGCTGCTCAACCAGAGGAAAAATTGCAGCACCGAGCATATTCAACCCTCTGGTGCCACCTGGAGCAATGCTGCACTGGATACTGCTTCAGAATGTTTGCCTTTAATTGCAGCTTGGAGAAGGGCTGCCTGATGCATCCACAGAAGGCTTTGCTGAAAGTCTGCATTTCAGCCCTTGCTGCGGGGATGTGACTGTCCCTGTCCCTGCTCAGGGGTGCTCCCCAGCCACCCACACAGCATCTGGGAACAAACAGGCAATGTGACAAGCACAGGACTCAAAGAACAGAGCACCCAGCACGAATTAAATTAAACACAAGTTAAAAATGCAGGATACACACATTAAAAATGGGAGAAGGGAAAGAGAGTTTGTGCTCATGCCTCAGAGAGCCCCAAGCTCTGGGAAGGAGCACAGCTCCCTGCAGGAGTTACAATACACACAGCACCAATTTTTGGACCACACACACACCAGATATCTGGACTGGCTTACCTTGACTCTCTAGCAGAGTTCAGCAGTAACAAGATTTTTAGGGTTTTTTTTAAAGTGGGGGCAAGAAGGAAGGGAGAAACAAAAAGATAGAAGACTTTAGCTGTTAATATGGTTTCCAAATTAGGAGAACAGCTTTCTCCTTTGCTCAAGAAGAAATCCAACAGAGCCCAGGATCTGTCCTTAACAACTGAGTTACATGGTTCCCTAACAAAATAGTCCATGGCTACAAGCAGGAAGGAATTTATGATCCACCCCTACTCTCTCCTACCAAAATCCTAGCAGGACAAACTACCCATGGAGGGCTTCAGGAGTGAGGAGACAGGATTCTGATCAAGGTTAGAGGGATCCCTCTGCCCCACGGCCAGGTCTGCCTCCTTGCACTCCCTCAGGCCCCAGTGGCCAAGAGATGTGCTGCAGAGAGCAGTGCTGTGACACCAGCAGCACTGTGACAACGTACCTGGCACTGCCGCTCGTACTCCAGGACAATCTCGGCAAAGCGCTCGCTCTGCTTCAGGAACTCCGGGCTGTGGGGCTCCCCCTGCTCCAGCTGCACAAAGAAACACTTCTCATCAGGAAAATCATCTCCAAATGGAGTGTCAAAAGCTCTGGGGTCATGGGGCTACACCCATGCATTCAATAGAAGGCTCCCTAAGGGGCCCATTACTTGTGCCATGGGTCAGAAAGAGGAGGAAAAACAATTTTTCTCCATTTAGCCAGGCTTTCCTGGCTAAAAAGATCACAGGCTCACTTCTTTTCACGGATTAATTTTAGGACTGGAAGATACTAAAACAAGCCCTTTTCTTCAATACTAGTGAAAAATAAAACTTTTCTGGAAACCAAACTCTACAAGTTTTCCCTTGAAGACTGCAGATTTGCAGAATTCTCTACAACTGGAAAATTTCCTCACACCATTTTTTTTTTTCTTTTCCCCAGTTTCCAGGCTGTCATTAAAGCACAGGAGAGCTCACAGAGGGGGAGATCATAGCAACTGAACAAAATATGCAAGATCAATTTTTTATGAATTCCTGAAAAGTTCTTATTTGGCTGCAACAAGGAAAGGTTACCTTATCCTTCACAATGTGGTTGAGTTCTTTTTGCAGCTCCAACACCATTTCCTCAGAGGCTGACAGTTTCTCAGCCATCTCTGTGACCTTATTTTGTAGCTGTGTGTTCTCCTGCAGATAAAATGGAGATTTCCCTGATGCAGTAGGTCCTGACATGGCAGGATGGGTTTATCAGCCACAGGTCCTCAGCAAGGAGCTGTAAAACAACTGGAATATCAGCAGGCCAAACACAGCACAGCTCCCAGGAGACCCTGGACATGGCCTGCTTTTAGCCAGAACAGGGTTGACTTTTTGCAGCAACCAGGAGGGGATGTGGCTAAGGCCCAGATGTTATTCTGTACCACCTCATTCACTGGAGACACAGGGAAGGCACTCTCTCTCAGTTCCAGGGAGAAGGAGATGCCTTCCAGAGAAAACGTGGCTGCTCTGCAATGAGCATTTGGCATGTAAATCACCCTCTCTTTTGTACGCTTTTGTTGTTAATATTGTTGCTGTCACTGATTGTTTCTTATCTCACTGCTGTTTCCAGTAAATTGCTCTTATTTCAACCCATGGTCTTTGCCTTTTGTGCCTCCCATTCTCCTCTCCAGCCACTGAAAAGTGGGGAGAGGGAGTGAGTGAGGGATGTGAGCAAGCAGCAATGTGGTTTGGGGGGTCTTGGTAGGAGAATTAATTGGGGAGCATCATTCCTAAATCATGACAGAACAGCACATTGCTGACACCACATGGACTCCAAAGGACAGGAGTGGATTTTGCACAATGAGAGCGAGACAGCCCCACAGGATCATCTCTTCCTCTGCTCACCAAAATTGTGGTTTCCCTCACAGTTAACAAAGGCAGCAAGTCCTGAGCTATCTCCATCTGTACTTCTACACTGACCAGAACTGGGGTAATCCCAGCCATGCAGACACCACCATCTCTGTCTTTGACATGGTCCCTGGCACAGTTTTAGCTTTGGTCATTGTGTTTTCAGGTGCTCCCAAGGGCCAAACCACTGCCAACAGGCAACACAGCAGTTTAGTAATGGCATGGCAAGGTAACAAGTTCTGTATTTAATACAACTGTATGGATGTGGCTGATGATTCTTCTCCACAAAATTCCTGCTCTTCCCAACAAGAACAAAGTGAACCATCTATATTTGTCACCACCTCTGCTTTGCCACCTCTGAAAGAGCGAAGGTGTTTCATCCAAGGCAGTGGTACTTACATTCATCACATGGTTCAGTCTCCCTTGCAGGTTGGCCTCTTTGCCCTGGAGGAGCTGTGCAGCAGCCTCCAGCTTCGCCTGGTGACTCACTGCTTGCTGCAAAAGCAGCTCTTTTGCCTCTATTTCTGCCTGAAAATTCCTGGGGAAAAAAAAGCAACATGGTTGGGACAGACAGAGTGCGTTCCTGGATGGCCACAAGCAGGAGATGAGAGCTTTGTTGGAAGGATGCTGAGATCACAGGGGTGGAGAGGGGTCTTCAAGGACTTTCCTGCCACTGACACATTGGGAAAACAAGTGAGAGATTCAAAAGGGATGTGCAAGCATCCCTTTTGTCCACCCCACCAAAAGAAGCTGTTCTACCTGAGCTTGCTCTGGGTGTGCTCAAGAGTGATGTACTGCTCATCCAGCTCCCTGCCCAGCTGCAGGCAGTGTCTCTGTGCCCTCTCCAAACCGAGCCTGGCCTTGTCCCTCTCCCTGGCGATCTGCCTCACCTGGGTCCTGCAGACACAGCGAGCAGGGCGTGGAGACCCCCTCGGGCAGCCCACAGGAGGCCCTCACAGGGAGCAGAGCCCTTACCAGAGGCACTGCAGTTTGTATCTGTAGGAGGTGCCAGCTGCATGCTGGAGGCCACTCCTGGGGACCATGGGTGTGTTGTCCCAAGCTGCAGGCAGCCCTGCCAGGCTCACCTGCTGCTCCGTGCTGCTGCTCCGCCTCTGCAAGAACAGACTGAGATCACTTCTTCCTCCCTCTTCCAACAGCTCCAACAGGATTGCTGCTGTTACACCATCTGACCACCCTGCAGTCTTTCAGGGATGCCCCCCATCTCACAGATAAGCCTAGATCACATCCACCCCCACATTCCCCCAGCCCTGGGGTGACCCAACCCACCCTGAACCGGGCTGCAAGCGCTTCTCCCACTGTGGGCATTTGCTCACTTCACCCACCACCACCGACCCAGCAGAACCAGGGACCCTGAGGATCTCCTCTCAGCTCTTCCAGGGCTCAGCTGGCAATGACAAGTTGAGGCTCGGCAAATCCAGTGTCTTTGCTGAGGCTGGAGAAGTGATGTGGGCCCAGGTAGCCTGGCCAGAAGGACAGGCTGCTGCTTCCCTGAGTGCTCCCCTCTGATGCTGAGGAAAAAAACAGCAGGAATAAGTCAGCGGGGCCAAAGTGGCAGAAGAAAACTGATGGTTTTCAATACCAAACTTCAGAGACCAAATCAATACCGAAGAACATTTTAGAAACAAACCCAGGCTGCCAGGAGGGCAGCAGGAATAAGTCAGCGGGGCCAAAGTGGCAGAAGAAAACTGATGGTTTTCAATACCAAAGGCAAACTTCAGAGACCAAATCAATGCTGAAGAACATTTTAGAAACAACCCCAGGCGGCCAGGAGGAAGATGTCCTGAGCTGCCCTCATGGCAGCTACAAGAGCAGTCTGGGGGCACAGACCATTCAGTCTGGTCTCCTGCTGACCCACCAACACCCAGCATCCACAGAACGACAGCACGAGATGTCCTGAGCTGCCCTCATGGCAGCTACAAGAGCAGTCTGGGGGCACAGACCATTCAGTCTGGTCTCCTGCTGACCCATCAACACCCAGCATCCACAGAACAAGCAGCACTGAAAGCTGTGTCACTTACAGGGTCTTGTGAAAACTGTCAGATGGGGACTGACAGCCAGCATTTTGTTTGACCAAAGAGCAGAACCCAGGAAGCTGATACAGAACTCACATTTCCAAAAGCACCAGTTTTGTACCAGGTTTGGAAGAAGCCTGTCTTCAGAGAGCTGTTACCTCAAAGTCTGAAGCCAAAAGAACGATTCTTATTTCTTTTTTTTTTTTTTTCTCAAGATCCTGGATGGAGCTGTCCTTGCTGTCAAGGTAAGCAGAGACTCACTTCCCCCTTAGCATATTCACATGGTGTCACTTCAAAAGCAAAAAGCACTGCCAGTCCTTGGAACTGAATGCACTAAGGAGAAAGAAGTATTTTACATCAAACAAAAAAAAAACCAAACCATGGATGAAGCTTGTTCATGCACTAAAAAGAGGACAATCTGTGTCACATGTGAGGTGCAGAGACGTCAGCACTTCTGAAGTCAACATGAGAACTGGGGTGATGTTTTTCCTCTCCTAGCATGTGCATCCCTCTCCCTGCCATAAAAAGACCAGGCTCAACAGCTCCCTGTTGTTCTGCATTACAATCCCACACCTCCTAGGCAGGGATTGCTCCTACTCAGGCAGTTCCCAAGGGAGCCTTTCAGCCACCATGCAGTGGCTGCAGTACCGACCACATCTAAAAACTGTCTTGCAAGTGAAGAACCCTCCCCAGACCACCACCCACAGATGCCTGACTGAATCCTGTGGGATCACCCACTTGTGAAAAGCAGCACCTTGGCCTGAATTGTTCTCAGTAAACCCTGATCTTTAGCCTCCTTTTTTATCTTGTTTGTTTGGTTTTTTGTTTTGTTTGCTTTGGGTTTTTTTGTTTTGTTTGCTTTGGGTTTTTTTGTTTTGTTTTTTCCTTTGTTTGTTTTTTTTTTTTTTGGGTGGGGAGGTGGGGAACACGGGGAAATGGATGGAGAAACATCTTTTGAGTGTGTGATGTCTGGACTCGTGTCTGGATTCCCTACAGGATCGTTTTAAAACACCAAACACAAACGAACTGTCCCGGGCAGGAGACTGGCGAGGACTTAATTGCTTAATTCCCCTAACGCGAGGTTAGTGTTAATCACCTCATGGAGCTGCACATCAAGGCCATCAACCAGGATCCTTTTTACAAACCTCATCCCATGGAGCTGCTGAGCCTTGGCTGTTCAAAGGACACTGACATACCGTGGAAAACGGGGTTATGCATCCGCGGGGACGCAGCGGCTCGGCTCGGCTTGGCCCGGCTCGGCTCGGCTCCTCTCGGCTCCGTTCGGCCCCGCCGCCCCGCGCATGCGCAGGCCGCGCGCACATCCCCGTCCAGCGCCCTGGATGCATTTCCCGGGGAGAACTGGGAAGGGCAGCGGCAGGAGGCGGAGGGAGCTGATGTCGCCTCTTTACTCAGCTCCTTCTGCAGTGCCGCGTCCAGTTCTGGCTCCTCAGGGCAAAAAGGCAAGGAGCTCGTGGAGAGGGTGCAGCGGAGGGCGACCGAGGTGATGCTGGGGCTGGCGCACCCCTCATGAGGAAACCATGAGGGGGCTGGGCGTGCTTAGTCTGGAGAGGAGGAGACTGAGAGGGGATCGCATCAGTACATTCAAATATCTCAAAGCCAAGAGGATGGTGCCAGGGTCTTTCCAGCGGAGGGACGAGGAGCGGTGGCCATAAACTAACACGCGAAGCTCCATGAGGAGCATTGAGCGCGGCGGGGCTGCTGAGGGAAGGGCGCTCAGGGCTCCCCCCACCGCCCCTCCCCGCGCAGGCGCAGTGGCGGAGCGCGGCGCGCGCGGCGGGCGTTGTGCGGCCATGGCGGGGTCCGCGGGGTCTGCGGGCGGCTCGGCGCGGAAGCGCCTCATGAAGGAGGAGGACATGACCAAGGTGGAGTTCGAGACGAGCGAGGAGGTGGACGTGACGCCCACCTTCGACACCATGGGCCTGCGGGAGGACCTGCTGCGCGGCATCTACGCCTACGGTGGGCGGCGGGCGCGGAGGGGCCGGGCTGCGGGGCCGGGCCCGCGGGGCAGCGGGAGGCTGAGGGCTCGGAGCGGGCCGGGGGCCGCGGCACGGCCCGGATGGGGCCCGGCCGCGCCTGCGCCGTGCGGCCGGCGGTGCGGCCTGGCCTGACGTGTTCCTTGGCCCCGCAGGGTTCGAGAAGCCGTCGGCCATCCAGCAGCGAGCCATCAAGCAGATCATCAAGGGCAGGGACGTGATCGCCCAGTGAGTGCGGCTGGGGGTGGGGTGTCGGGCGCATTCCCTGCCTTGAGGCTGGAAGCGGGATCGGCCACCCGTGGGCCTGGCAGGGTGTGGGGAGTGACCTGAAATTGGTGGGACGAGGGGACAGGTTGGTCAGAGCAGCTGTAGGTGTCCCATCCCTGGAAGTGCTCAAAGCCAGGCTGGATGGGGCTCTGGGCAGCCTGGTCTGGTGGGAGGTGTTCCCTGGCACGGCAGGGCGGGAGATGGAGCTGGATGTTGTTTAATCCCCTTCCAGTTCAAGTTGTTCTGTGGTTTTATGGTGTGACAAGCAAACAGTGAAATTGCCCAACTTGTTGTAATTCTCTGCCAGTTAATGTGAAAGTTTATTAGGTTTAGTTACTGTAAAAAATATGTCTTAGAGACAAAGAAGGATATGCATCCCACTGAAAAAATCTTTTCTTGGTCACTAGCACAAACTACTGGCCTTACAAATTGCATTGGCTTATCTGTTATTTACTTGGAAAAATTGTGTGGCAGATTGCAGAAAATTAAACTGCTGATCTGATTGTGAAGGTGCCAGAGCTGGGGACCCTGAAGTGTCCCTGATACTGCAGTTCTCAAAGCTGCTTGACAGCAGATCACACTCTGACCATAACAAGCCTTTGCTGGCACTGTTGAGTTCTGTGCAGGGGGTGGGAGAGAGCGGAGGGGTGGAATGTGTTGGAATTGCTGTGCTGTTTGTCCAGACATGCAGAGTGTTCATCAAACGTGTGTTTCTCAGGTCGCAGTCGGGAACAGGGAAGACAGCAACATTCTCCATATCTGTTCTGCAGTGCCTGGACATACAGGTAATCTCAGAGCAGCACATGCTGAAAATAATTGTTATTAAATCGCTGGTTTTCATCATAAGTTGTGTTCTTTAAGAGGGAAAAAATGAAGTTTTACTTTGAAATCTTTTAATTATGGGCAGTGAACTTCAGACAGAATTCTGACTGAGAACTTCACCAGACTCTGTAACAATTTAACTCCTAAAGCCAGTCTGGCAGAATAACTCAGCCCTAACAGTGAAAGAGGTCAGTTGTTAAAGACAACTTTATCATTACAAGACATCCTCTGAACTTAATCTCTCAGCAATCAAATTGTCTTCAGACGGTGCTAGTAGCATCATCAGCCTATCTGAACAAGTGCCACAGATTGCACAGAATCAGACCTGGGTTTCTGGCTGACAGCTGTTTGCTCTTGTTCTGCTCAGGGGCATCGTGTCCATCCAGCAGCTGTGGGGTTTAACCTGGATGTGCAGCTTCAAGTGAATAAAAGGGTGGTTCTCAGTGGGCTGGGATTGTCACTTATCTGTCACCATCTGGGGACATAAAAATTGAGGTTGCATGTTCTAAGTGGAAAGGACAGGCTTTGATTTATTTCTGTGGAGTGCTCATAATACTTTCAGAGGTGACACCTCAGAACTTTGTCTTGGAGTCCTTGAGCAATGCAAGGTGTTTATCTGAACGAAACACACAGAGCTGAAGGACTTGAAATTTGGTTCTGTTTAGCAAGAAATGTACACACCTTTTTTTTTAGCACAAAATTCTGTGCTAAAGCCTTCAGCTGTGACGTTTCACAGCTTTGATTCTGTGAGCTCCATCCCCTCTTGCATGCCTGGCTCTCTGGCCTGTGGTTAACTTCCATGTGGTTCCCTGCTTTAACCAGGTTCGCGAGACCCAAGCCTTGATCCTGGCACCAACCCGGGAGCTGGCTGTGCAGATCCAGAAGGTAGGAGCATTTCAGTCCTTGTCTGGAAAGCACTGGCAAGGCCTGGGGCCAGTGCTCTGGTGTTTCTCTAGCAGAGCTCAAAGCTTCCACTTTTTCTTTCTGTTCCTGAGAGAAATAACAAAAGTATGACCTGATACGGGGCCATTTGCTCCTCGGCATTAAATTCATTACTTTGGCAGTCTGAGGTTTTGCACAGCCCTAGCTGAGTTTTTAACGCCTGCTGTTTGTGGAGGTTTGGGTAACAGACATTTAAAAAATCCTTCTTGCTCCTTGTGCTGAGATCTCTTCAAAAGCCCCCCAGCACGGCTGCACAGACCAGCCTGCCCTGACAAACGCAGCCCGGGCAGAGCTGGGGCAGTGAGCCCATTCCTTCTACCCACACAGGGCCTTCTCGCCCTGGGAGACTACATGAACGTGCAGTGCCACGCCTGCATCGGGGGCACCAACGTGGGCGAGGACATCCGCAAGCTGGATTATGGGCAGCACGTGGTGGCTGGCACCCCGGGCCGCGTGTTCGGTAAGGAAATCTGACCTGCATTGTAACACTGTTAATGTAACATTGCCCTGAAGTGTAACAAGGTAACAACTGAGTGCTGTTGCGCCTGGAAAAGACTGGGGGAAATCAGTGGTGATGGTATTTTCATTTCCTCTGTTAATGCTTTGCTTTCCGTTGTTGAGGTGACTCTTCATGTGGTGGCTTTGGAAAAAGGAGAAAGTATTACAGTCCTTGAGTCTTCAAGGAGATAGGAGCCAGGCCTACACAAATGCCAAAACTAGGCCCACATTTTCTGTGTCCTGGTGGTTGCTCCATCTTTGTTAAATCAGGTCACTTGCAGCTGGTACCTTCTGGTTCCACTGCATGAAGAGTTTAACATTTACTGCTCGTGGCAGTTACCACAAGGTAGTGTTGGCCTTCAAGCTCCCATCTTTTGGGTGTCTGAGAAACACACAGCACTTAGACAAGCTCCTGTCACTGGGAGAACATGAACTGGTCCCCACAAGTGGAAAAAAAACCCACCAAAAATTAGCAGCTGCTGAGCTGGGCTGACTCTCAAACAGGATTTGTGGATTCTGTTGACATAAAGTTCCTCTGGCATTTTGTGTTTCTCACATCTGTCCCTCCTCCACCAAAATGCCCTGACAGTAGTGAGGCTCACTTGCTTTCAGAGCATTCTCATCTCACAAAGTGAAATCTTACAGATATGATTCGCCGCAGAAGTCTAAGAACTCGTGCCATCAAAATGCTGGTTTTGGATGAAGCAGATGAAATGCTCAATAAAGGTAAAACATTTGCCTCCCTTTCTCCTTACTTCTTTGAGATTCTAGGGTGTCCCAACTGGCAGGCCCACTTCTAAAAAGATAAAGTTTAAAAAGTTAGACTATTACAGTCAGTTCTAGGCTGTAGTAGGTTAATCTAGACAACAGGCCTTGTCTGATGTTACTGATTCACACATCTGTGTTCATCCCATAGTATAGACCCAGTACTGAATTCCAGATCAGATTGTGAAAGAGGAGGGTATTTGGGAGAAGGATGTGCTAACTCTTCTGTGTGGCTTGACTTGCACTGCAGGCTTCAAGGAGCAGATTTACGATGTGTACAGATACCTGCCTCCAGCCACACAGGTGGTTCTGATCAGCGCCACTTTGCCGCATGAAATCTTGGAAATGACCAACAAATTCATGACAGACCCCATCCGCATCCTGGTGAAACGGTCAGTGAGTTTCCTCGGAGAGAACAGGGGCTCTGGGAACAGGGTTGGTCCAGCCCTGGGCAGTTCACAGTGTTAACTGGTTTAAATGTACAGGGAGTCTCCTGTGTTCCTTGTCATCATTCCTGACTGTTCCAGATGTGCTCATGTCCTGTTTCCCAGCAGGGGCTGAGTTATTTCCCTGACTTTTTCCTTGCCCAGTTCTGAGTGCTGGTGCTCAGCCTGGCTGTCCCCTCATTCTCCCCATGGATAGCAGTCTCTCCTCATGGAAATCTATCCTTCACACTTACCCAGTTCCTGGGCTCCCCCAGAGGATTTTTTTAGGCTTCCTGTTAAAATTTCCTATTACATAGCAGGCAAAAAAACCCTTTTTTTTGATCTGATCCTGGGTGTTCTTGGAAGCACCGTTTACATCTGGTGGTGTCACGGGTCCTTGTGCACTGGGACTTGGGAGGAGTCTCCCTCTTGCCTGAGCTCTTACACTGCCCCATTTAGTACATTCAAGCTTCTTGAGACTGAAGAATTCAATCTGTCTTGTCAAGAAGCTGGAATGTA